AAAAAAAAAAAAAAAAAAAAAAAAAAAACACATCATAGTAAAATTAATACCTTCTCCGCTTCGCATCGAAGCTAAAACGTTATTTTACACTCTGTATTATTGTTATTACAAACTATTATAAGTAAAAATACTAATAATATGTAAGCTCTATACGCTATTCTGAGTAGAAGTTAATATATAAAAGCATTATTTTATTGAAAAAATAAGAAGAGACTATTAACAATGTGCTTTGTAAATTTAAAAAGCAGTCATGACCCATCCTCTAAATAAGTTCTTCATAATTATTTGGTAGCTTACTAATTATTATTAGTTTATTAATCCAAATAATTCTCATTATAAATATACACACATGTATCAATTTATAAGTGATTAAATAATTTTTTGGAATTTATTAGCATATTTTTACCTAAGCGAAAGGAGTGCTGAGAAACGTCTAATGATAGAAATAGTCATACCCGCACTTCACCTTAAGTACAAATTTAAAAATGATAATTACTTCCGAAGTATTGGTTCAAATATTGTTATCTACAATGTCATTTTCTATTTCATAAGCTAGTTAATGCTAAATTATTATTAAAAGAAATATAGTTGATATCCATATAAGGGATAAGGAATTGGCATATAAAGTATTTAAAACTTTCAATTAAAATTTTAATGACTAAAAAATGTTCAGTGTCAAGTATAAATTAATTCAATTTAACGGACTAAATAGAATATTAAAAAATCAGTCCTTCGATTTAATCGAGTTAGTTGATACTCAATAAATCATTTCAAAATTATAAATTGAAATCGAATCGTTTAGATTTAAAGATTCGAACTACACTTAGATATAAGTTTGTGTCCTTCTAAAAGCATTTCTTCAAATTAAACTTAATTTACGTCAAACCAATATTTTATTTCTTATTTCATAAATATTTCAGTTAAGAAAGTCTCCTAGGGAAAAGTTTTATCCTGACCATTATCATATTTAGCGGCGGTTAAATGGGTGGAGATAATAGATATAGATTCCCTATTGTCATATTTATTTTTGACGTTTTGTACAATATTAGCTTTAATATGAAGCTTAGAAAGTATAGATTTTGTGATGTGTGTTTTTTTATGTCTATCATTAAAACTTCTCACTTTTCACTGGATTTTAATGATCAATATGTAAAAAGAATACCCAATATTATTATAGTTGAAACTATGGTCGCCAAAGATTGAAAAAACCCCCAATTTTAGAAAAATATTTAAAAATTACAATACCGTAAAAAATGTTATTTTCAATATTTTTTTGTACGTTTTATAATTGCAATAACTTTTTTTTTTAAATCTTTGATTTTAATAATATTTAAACAATGTATACCACAGGTAATAAGCAGTCTTAGTATGATTTTTATAAAAATTGAAGTATAGAGAGGGATTTAAAAAAAGACATTCATGCATTTAAACAATTTTTTCAACAATTTCCGGAACGTCTACACTATGTTGTAATATACCCAATGCTTTGCATTATGCATCTTATATTTATCAATGAAAAATTTATAATCTGTATTTTATATTACTTGTAAACAAACAAATAACTTATCTGTGATAACATGTATACTGTTCAACACAATTTCTTATTATTTATATATATGTCAATTTATTAATTGTTAAATATGCTATCTTAATATAATAATCATGTAATGTATAATTAAGTACATTAAACTAAAAAGATCACTAAAAGCGCTGACAACAATATCCTTGGATTGGGGGTACTATCATTCACTATAAAAAGCACTGAAATCCTTTCAGATCAGAGTTCGCTTTCACTGAATTCAAATAAGAAAACAATTGTTAGTTACAACCCCGTGTTGTAATCTTTTTATGTGTCTTGATTACATATATTCGAAAAGAATTTGTTTTAATTTTCTATTATTGTGACGGAGTACGAATCCAATACCAAGTGTACATATACATATCGAAATATTTATCGAATCATCATACAGCAATTTGCAAGAAAAAAGAAGTAAATTTATGTTATCCCAATTATTTAGAGTTAATAATTTTGAGTAAAGGATGGCAAAGCAATAGATCATTTATTAAATTAATATCTTAAAATGTTAATTTTAACTGGTTGGATAAATTATTATACATAATCACGTTATATGGTATTCGTGAACTGGCTCCGCCGTTTCGTTGCCTCTTAGTTAGAACATTAGAAACTAACCAGAAAAAAGTGTATTGCACCTCAATTAGAGATACTGCGTTTATTATTTTTATATCTACTTGTCTTTATTGTTCTAAACCCTTGAACCATACGACACTGATAGAACCACAACATCAGGTTCTCACCATATACAGCCCAATTCAAATTCATTATTTTTATTTTATTAATTTTTGTTATTTGAATTATAACAACTATTTTAACCTATATCAAATTAAAACTCTTACAGTGTACTATAATATTAAAATACCACAATTGGAAAATTTAAAAGGTTCTCATTGGAGCGGTTTTAATAGTAGTAATTTTAATCACTACAGTGATTAAAATTAATGTTAAAATAAAAATACAATACGGTAGCACAGTATGGACGTGGTGACATAGTTGGGACGAGTATAGACGATATCTGACAGTGATTAAAATCACTATCATAAGAGACACTTCAATGCAAATCTGTAGATAGTGTTTAATTTTAAAAAATTAGTGGACTATTCCAAAAGCAACCCATTTCCTTAATAGGAATAAAAATCTATAGTTTATAGCAGTTCTGATAGTACCCTGATTAATAGTTCTTTGAATTATAAGTATAATTTATGAATAAATATTTATTATAATAATTAAATTTAGTATGAATTTGAATCCAATAAAATGTAATATTGTAACTTTTAAGGAAAAATTATAAAAAATAATGAAGTAGTTGTATATTTTGTTACGTCTATGGTAAATGTGTAAACAAATTGAAGGACTTGATTTGATACTTTTCAAAAAAAGGGATTTTCATACTCGGATACATACTTATCTTTTGAAGTACCGTCGAAAGAAATCGGGTCGATGAGAGCTGAAAAAAAGTGGCGATAGTAATTATAAAATATATATATATATATAATAGTAAAATGAATACCTTCTTAACATCGCATCGAAACAAAAGGTAATCCTTAAAAATATCTAATCTTGATAAAAATCGATTTAAATTCTTAAATAAATTTTACATTTTATAAGAAAAATAATAGTCTAATTTGATATTCCTTAAAATTAAAAGCAACTTTACACTTTATTTTTGATATAATTATTATTTGTTGTTATGTATTGATCTATGAATTTAGTTAGTTACATATACTTTGAGTAAAAATATTGGGTGTTTTGTTTTTTCTGAAAACTAGCAAAAAGTTGATTGTGCCTTATTTCATAAAAAATTTTTAATTGAAGGTTTTAAATTAACTTAATTAGAAGACTATCATGTATGTATAACCAATAGTTTCTAGAAAACTTAATATAGGTAATAAAAATAAAACAAGCTTTATGGTAATGGAGCACATTAATCACGAGTTTTTTATCATTAAAGGGTTTTCATTCCCTTCTGTCATCATTATTACAACGATAATTTTTTTTATATATCAAGAAAAGGGTCGTATATATTTTTCATTTAGTGTTAAATTAATTCTTGCACAGAGTGTTGCAGCCTGCTTATACAATTTTTTTTTATAATTTTAAGGTCTAACCATAGTTATTACTAAATATTAATATTTACATCCAAGGCTATCTTGATAGTGACATGGAAGCAACCGTGTATTTAGAGGAGGGTACAAGTACTAATACTCCTCCTCTTTGATTGAGCTAAGCTAATAATTCTATCAAGCAATTTAATAATGTAATGAGTTAGTAATTAATATTAGGTGACAAATATTTTTATTTTTTTTGTTATCGATGATAACATAACATCAATAATGATTATATAGTTGTCTCGTAAAACATAATTCAACGTTTCGTAGCGTTGTTCCCTACGATTTATAAATGTATCAAGATGAATTGATCCACCTTGGTACATCAATAAATCCTCTTATGATTGCGTCGGTGAACCAAACTAAAATTTTCAGGGGTAATATATAAAAAAATATCCTAATTTTCAACTTATAATATATGAGTATAATACCAAAAAAAAGTTCTTTAAATTAAGTCACATAACTTTATAAAATTATTTATTCATTAAAAATAATTTTTTACCACTTCCTATATTTATAAGTTCATATTTTTATAAAGAAAATTCATTTTTTAGTAATTACAAAATTATTTAGAATAAAGTTACAAGTAACATTTAAATTACCAAATCAATGTTTATGTTTATGTTTAAAGAAGAAAAGGAAATGGTTTACTCTTTTTTGTATATCCATTCATTATATATTATCTTCCATGAAACATATGTCTGCTTATCAGATGTTAAACAAAAATAGTATCGATGTTTATTTAGTATTGTTTCTTTTGTGATTTTTTTCCTGCAACTCAATAATAACTTAATCAACTTTAATAATCACATTATTTTAGTGTTACACCTTGGTTATATATTTAAATCGAAAAACATTGTTGATAAATAATCATTTAAGTTAATGTTATTATTCTTAGTGTTTTTTTCATATTAGGTAATCATAGGATACCTTTAAAATGGGAGCATTACTGTCGTTGTGTACAGTAGGCCAAGTAATTTCTTATACTTCAAATTTTTATTTTTATAGAAATAATTTTCTAAGTTCTTTTATAGATGGCATGTTGTTGTGGCCAAGCAGCTTGCTCATTATTTGCTTGTTGTCCATCATGTGGTAATTCTACTTCAACTAAAGTGATGTATGGATTGATGTTATTGGTAGCTGTAATATTAAGTTGTATTACTCTTGCTCCAGGCTTACAATCATTTTTACAAAAGGTAAATTTTCCAACTTTCAAAAAAAATATATTTCTACTCTTCCTCTTTCCCCCTTAAAATTTTATCACTTATAGTTTTTAAATGCAAACCTATAAATTTAAATAACTTAAAAACTAGAAAATGATTGGTCAATAACAACTTTTGGACCAGTACCTTGAAAGTTATTAACTTTTTAATACAAAGACTAGAGGTGAAGCATCTTTCATTTTATTTTCAGTTTTGTTGTAATTAATGAATTGTATTATACCTTATACCTTGTTTTAAAAATGCTCATATCTTTTAAAAGACTAGTCCAAAGATTGTTATCAACAAGTAATTTTCCAGTCTATTTTGGTTAAACATATATTTTTTCATTTAAAAAACTAGAGTTGATATAATTTTATGGGAGATAGTACCAAAATGTTTTTTGTAAAATATAGTATGTTGAATACTATTAATTCCAAAAAAAAAACATACTATGTTTTATATTTAAAAATTTATAAAAATTTTTGTATAATGAGTTACAATTTAAGGATCAAAACTTAAAATCCAAATTTTTTTAGATATTTCAGTTTTGAGCTGTATAATATTTTGCTTGATATAATGCATTAAGAATACTAGGGATTACGCTATATTTTAATGAAAATATATCAAGAAAAGGGTTGTACATATTTTTTATTTAGTGCTAAATTAATTCTTGCATAGGGTGTTGAAGCCTACTTATACAATTTTTGATGAACTTCACTTAAATAAATCTATAATTTTTTTCCTTAATAAATATTTTTACATTTTACTTAGATTAATTCCATACTTTTATTTATTATATTGACATCTAATAAAATATTAAATTGTGGTAAAACATTCTAAGTTGGTTTCTACTTCAATTTACATTGTATGTTAAATTATGAATCTTGTCAATCCTTTTTTAGGTACCTTTCTGTGAAAATGCTCAAGCCTCAAGTATAACGGGAAAATTTGTTAACAACTTATCTAGCGTATCTATTGATTGTAAAAATGCTGTTGGCTACATGGCTGTTTATAGAATATGTTTTGCCATGTTTATATTTTTTTCACTGATGTCCTTTATTATGATAGGTGTTAAAGATTCTAGAGACAGACGAGCTCCTATTCAAAATGGGTATGAAGTTTGTATTATCTGTTTCATTAATTTTATGTTGTTTAATATTTTAATATACATTGTTACATGTTTTCATGTAGATTTTGGGGAATTAAATATATCATTGTACTTGGTGGTATAATTGGTTCTTTTTTTATTGCACCTGAAGGATTTAGCCATGTATGGATGATTTGTGGAATGATTGGAGGTTTTATATATCTTATTCTTCAATTTGTACAAGTTTTAGATTCAGCTCATTCACTTGCAGAATCTTGGCTGTATAATTGGGAACAAACTGAAAACAAAAAATGGTTTGTTTTTTATTCTACATATAATATACAAAAATTTGTCATAATTTTTATTTATTTTCAATTCATTAGGTATTTTGCATTATTAATTACAACTGTTGTGTGCTACGGACTAGCCATTGCAGGAATTTTTGTTATGTTCCATAGTTTTACTCAGGTAAATATTGCATATTTCATTTAATTTAGGAAAATAATTTGTCAAGATGTTTATTATTTATTAGTACTCTTTTTTCTTGTTATATGCAAACTTATAAAATTATATTTTCTTTTAAAATTATTAGTAAAAAACATAATTTTGTAAATCTTACTAAAATTAATTATAATTAGTTTTATTTAATTTGTAATTAATATTTTTCAATTTTTAAAACAAACTTTTATAATTTTAGGGTGATGGATGTGGATTAAACAAATTCTTCATTACTTTAACAATTGTAATATGCATTTTTATGAGTTCAATATCAATTACTTCTTGTGTGCAACGTGTTCATGAAAAATCTGGTTTATTGCAATCATCCATTGTTAGCTTATATGTAGTTTATCTCACATGGTCAGCTCTCAGTAGTGGTCCAGGTATTAATTAATTTTTTGTTATTTATTTATTTGAATCATAATTTTACTTATGTGTTATTTTAGAATCGCAGTGTAATCAGAGCTTAACAACTATATTTAATAAATCTGATCCAAATGCTTCAAAAATTCATTTTGGATCGGAGAATTTAGTCAGCATTGGTATTTTTGTTTTGTTTGTTTTATATTCAGCTATTAAAACAGGATCATCATCTAAGTTTTCAATGAGTGTTTCTACTGAAAAAAGTAAGTTAAATTTGAATTAGTATCAAGAATTAAAATTATTTCCTTGAAAAATGTGTTCAATTTAAACATTATTCTTAAAGTAGGTAATGATAGTGATTTAGAAGGTGGTCACGGAGATAGCAGTAATGGTAAAATATTTGATGATGAAAAAGAAGAAGTGGCTTATTCATGGTCATTTTATCATTTTACTTTTGCCATGGCAACATTGTTTTTAATGATGACGCTCACCAATTGGTACTCGTAAGTATATAAAAATTTAATAAAAATCTGGTCAAATTTAGTTTTTTATTTTAAATCTTTTTTTTAGACCTAATTCTAGTTTAGACAACTTACATCCAGATTATGCTTCTACTTGGACTAAAATATTGTCTTGTTGGATTTGTGCTGGTTTATATGTGTGGACACTAGTAGCACCAATTGTTTTGCCTGATCGTGAATTTTAAATTACCTTAAAAGTCTACTTAAAAATTATGAGATATTGGGTATTTACCTTTATAAAATTATAAAAAATTGTATATTTTGTAGTTGTATTTACTATTTATTAAGATTCTTTTTTTTTTATTGTTTATATTATATTTTTTTGGTACTATTTTTTCTAGACTACATTAAATATTTGTGATGTATTACGTTTAAGTTACATGAGTGATTCTTCTGTTTTATATATTCAAAATAGAAATATCTATAACAAACATTTTAATTTGCATAATTTATTTCAAATATGTAACAAGTTTAATTACTAAAATATAAATGTTGTGTGATATTTCAAAAATATTTTAAGCTTGACTACTTATCTAAAATCTTATATATCTTATTATCTAATATATATTATTCAAAAAAGAAAATATAATAATATTGTGATAATTAAAATAAAAAGTTTTTTTTTGTTACCATAAAAATAAAGTGACAACTAGTGTATATTAATATTAGAAGTACAATTTGTTCTTATTTATTATTCTTTAGTCATAAAATATGTGCACAATTGAATAGCAATCAGTCTTACATTCAACAGTAACAATTATATGTAATAAATGTAAATTTTCAATTGTCTCTTTCAATTAAGTTGCCTTGTCTCATCTTGTAAAATATTTAAAGCAAGTAACTGATTAACAGGTAAATGTGATGATAATGAGCTATTTAAATATTTCTAATTGAATCATAGTATTTGTACTTGAGATCCAAACATTAACTATTAACTCTATACAAAAAATAATTATGAATTTAATTTTTTTTTTTTAATATAATTAAAAAATGATAATTTTAGGAGATAGTTATCACTTATTTAAAAATAATGATGATCAGTTTGTTCAAAATACACTCAATTATTTATAAAAATCGTGTCAAATTCAAATACACCCATTTTGTGAAAAATAATTACATTGTGAAAGATAAATATAATAACTTTTTCTAGTATGAAATAAAGAATATTTTTTATGCTTATGATCATATAAAAATGAAGTTACAGAAATATAACATAACTTTATGCAGATAATTGTGAAAATTTTAATAATTGATTAATTACACATTATTAATGACATGTAAAATATTTACTGTTTAAAGATGTATAATTTAAAATAGTCTAAAATTATTGATTATGTTTCCCTAAAAACTAGCTTAATAATCATTATTGTGTAATAATTTTTCTCTTATAAATGAAAAATTTCTGATTTAAATTATTCTTATTTAAAATTCCTTTTATTTATAGAATTAATTAAAAAGTGTAGTTTATTTAACAATCAAGGAAACTTGATTGACAAGTAGACGTCACATTAAGGCAACTTAATAATCAAAAACTATTACTAATTATATAAATTGATGTGATATTTAAAAAACAAACAAACTCAACCCGACTCTAAGTTTTTGTTAGTCATATTAATGACAGGTAATCGAACAATAATACCAGGAATTCAAAAAATGTAGAACTTTAACAGTTGTATTTATAACAGTCACAACTAATTGACGATATATATTACTGTCCATAGTTAGAAACCACTATAAAATTCTTGAAGCAGTCTAATGAGTCCAGTGAATTACTAGTAAACAGTGATGTAAGTTGTCATGTTTTCAAAGACTACTAAAAAAATGTAATGTTTGTGATAAAAATTATCTTTTATCGGGATGTTTTTTGNAAAAAAAAATGTAATGTTTGCGATAAAAATTACATTTTATCGGGATGTTTTTTGTACTTAAAACTGCCATAACTTTTTCAAAAATGAGCAAATAAAAATAATATTTTTTTGTATTGAAACCTTAGATATTTCCCTTTCACTTGATATAATTTTTTTTGAAAATCTAACACTTATTCTGCTCACTGGGAGGATTTAAAATAGTAACTTTTTTACAAAAAATAACTTTTTCAACTTAATTTTTGAAAATGTTCCGGAAATACTGCGTCCTTTAAACATATATAAAATTAAAGCTTATTTTATGTACTACAAAATGAAAAAAAAAAATTTGTCCCGACGATCTATCTTCTATACGCAAATGGCTACCATATTGAAAAATATACTATTTTTGTATGATAATTATGGGTTTTGTATTTTATTTTAATAGAAGTTGATGTTGCTTTTGCAATTATCCATCAATTTTTTAAAATTAAACACTATCTACAGATTTGCATCGAAGCGTTTCTTATGATAGTGATTTTAATCACTGTCAGATTAAATCTATACTGGACCCTACTATGCAATGTCTCTACTATGCCGCGACCCCACTGTGCTACCGTTTTTTTTACTTAAAATTGCCATAACTTTTTTTTTTATATTATTAGAACTAGATCAATAAATACGTAAATTTCACTTTATTTTGATAATTATATGTATTAAAATCATTATATCTAAGTAAAATTAAGAACTAATTTTGATATGATAATTTAATAGAAATCTATGTATGCGTTTATGTAGATGACATACAGATACATACCAATTTACATATTATTTAAATGTAAAAATGTATTTTACATCTGACCATAATTAATGTGGAAGGAAACACAATAATTAAAGTATTTAATAAAAAAAAAACATGAGAATGAAAATTATAAAGACGACCCCCTACCCAAAATAAAAAAATGTTATAAGACCATATAAACAGAAAGATAAAAGTTTAATAATTGAGTTCAACGCCAGTAGTCTTTGTTCTCTACAATATACAATACATAATTTTCAAGTAAAAAAAAATAGACGAATATTCTACAAAACATTAAGTATGATAATTATTTTATATATATTTATTTTTATTATTATTATTAAGTTTGCATGACACGTAAAGAATTAATAAAAAAAAAATTTTTTTTTTTCCTTAAATTAAATATAAGTAAAATTATCATTTTCATATTACATTTTTTTTTACATAAACTTACTTTTTTAATAACTTAAATTCATATTAAATTTAAGATTAATTTATTCAAATATTTTTTAGTGTAATTATTTAGCCTTCTATTTAATGATATATTAATCATATATGAATATTATTTTTATAATGAGTTTATCAATAGAATTTAATAAGTTATAATTAATAAAATTATCAATAAATGATCACTTTCATTAGAATAGCACTTCATAAAATGTATAATTAAATTATATCTATATTTAAAAAAAAACATTATGTGTTATTAAACAAATTATAATTTTGATAATTAAATTAAAGTATTAATACTCACTACATAAATAATTGTAATAATAGAAATTCATATTTAAGTTTGTATAAATTTTTACATTAGACTTATATTATTTTTCTTGTAAACTTAACTTCAAAACTTCAATCAATCTTTCAATCAAGATTACTTCAATTCATTCACATATTTTGTGTAGTTTTTGTTAGTATTACAATTGGACCATCAAAATGCACTACTCACACAATATAATCAACTTTTATATGAAAATGCTACAATCAACTACTGAATTTAAAGTATTTGACTCAGTATTTTTATTTAAAAATATTAATTCCAGAACATCAAACAATACAAATACAGATAATTTAGCAACACTGAAATTATTGTTATTTCCATTTCATTTAAATGATTACTGGTTATTAACAATAGTTAATTTAAAATATAATAAAATCATTAATTATGATACATCTAATAAATATCAAGGACAATTTAACTTTTCAATAAAAAATCTTGTTAATGAATGGACACAACAAAATCCACAATGGAAAATATACAGAAAAAATTATAATTGTATAAATTATTGTGACTCTGGTCCAGTAATTTTAGCTATCACAGAAAAAATTACACGAGGTTTTCCAGCTACTATTGACTTCAATACAATATCATACCTAAGAATATGTCAACAACAAGAAATAAGAACAGGATTACTCATATTTGAGAGTAGACCAATCGCTATAATATCATCAACAAAAACAGAAAACAATTCAAAAAACAATATATCAACTACCATTAATTTAGAATATGAATATACAAATCCTAAACGAAACAAAAAAACTGAAAAGAATAAAAGAAGAAAATATCTAAAAAAGAAATTAAAGAAAAACAACAAACAAAAAACAAGATCAAAAACGACAGCAATAAATATATGCTCCTAGTTGCAATACTAACATTAATTGCCAAATGAACATTTTAGAAACAAATCAATCAAAATAAAACCATAATCTCAAAATCGATAAAAAAAAAAAAAACCCAGCACAGGGGGGTCGCGGCACAGTGGTGACGTGGCATAGTTGGATCAAGTATAATGATATCTGACAGTGATTAAAATCACTATAAAAAAAAAACGCTTCGATGCAAATCTTTAGATAGTGTTTAATTTTAAAAAATTGGTGGATTACTCCAAAAATTACATGATCTGCTAGTTCCTAATTAATATCCAGATTAAGATAAAGTATATCGAATGAAAAAGGGACATAAATATTATTTCTCATAAAAAAATTGTATTGATCCATACACTTTTCAATAAGTTATAGCATTATAAAGTTAAAAATGTAAAATCTAAAATCGAAAATTTTTACACAAATATAACATTTGGTAGCCATTTTCACAGTGAAAACAAAATAAAGTCCGAAATTTTTTTTTTCATAATAAAGTACATTACATTAGCTATAATTTAAGATATATATAAAAGTGTCAGACCTTCCGGAACATTTTCAAAAGTTAAGTTGAAAAAGTTAATTTTTTGTGAAAAAGTTGTCATTTTAAATCCCCCCCTGTGGGCAGGTTAAGTGTCAGATTTACAAAAAAAATATACCAAATGATAGGTAAAGACATCAAGCATCTATATAAAAAAAAATTATATTGATATGTTCATTTTTGAAAAAGTTAGAGCATTATTAAGTTAAAAATATAAAAAAAAATTATTTTACAAAAATCGTAATTTTTTATTAACTTTGATGTCAACTTTCACCACGAAGACAAGTCCAGAGGTCAAATTTTTTTTTTTCAAATTAAAGTATATTACATTAGCTTTAATTTAAGATATATATAAAAGTGTCAGACCTTCCGGAACATTTTCAAAAGTTAAGTTGAAAAAGTTAATTTTTTGTGAAAAAGTTGTCATTTTAAATCCCCCCCTGTGGGCAGGTTAAGTGTCAGATTTACAAAAAATATACACCAAATGATAGATAAAGACATCAAGCATCTATAAAAAAAAATTATATTAATATGTTCATTTTTGAAAAAGTTACGGCAGTTTTTAGTAAAAAAAATTAAAAAAATTTCGAAAATTAGCGATTTTTAAATTTGTAATTTTTTTGGAGGTTTCCCCCATTTTTAATTTTTGAGGGTAATGTGATTTGTAATCTTTTGACGTATCGTTGAAAGAAATCGGTTTGGTGAG